GTAATGCACCCCTTTTCAATGACGCACTTCTATTTCCACGCCGAGCAGAGAAAGAATTAAATTACCTGAATTTGGACGTTCTCACAAGTTTTCACGTGAAACAGCTACAAATAATTATGACGAACGTTTAAATTAAACTTGGTTTGAATTAAACTTAAATCTTCATTGAATACTTTTGCGCGCATTTTATATCTCGTAAATAAAAGCAGAAAAAAATTAATTGCGCCGTATTAATATTATTTAATAATTTTTTCAACTTAAAATATTCGCGCGTAATGTAGAGAAAGAATTGTTAAATGTTTTCTCACATTCTTCTTACCTTTTGTCTCTTGAGGAACATTTGTTTAAGCAGGTTCGTTGGAAAAAGAAACTCAAGAAGCGACACAACGTTACTCCCGTGGAGAAAATCGATATCGCTGACTGTATTTGTTTCTATACAATTAAGCTCTGCTTATATATATATATATATATATATATATATATATATATATATATATATATATATGATCGATGCTTGATACACTGGCGTACAATGAAGCTTCATCGATAACGTCCCAAATATTCGGGGAAACGAAGAGAATCTCTCTCTCCGTCGCGATAAATCGCAAATTGTCGGAAATTCGAGCGACGATGACAGAGAATCTTTTAACGATATGCGCTATGCAAGGCAGGAATGACAGGTGACGATGATGCAGTCGTCAACTTACGCATCCCTTTCTCTCCCTTTCTCTCTCTTTCTCGCGAAAAGAATTGACAGAATGTGCTATCGTATCGTTATACACGGAGAGAATTTTGAAGATCATGATAATTGTGGGACAATATGAAAAATTATATAAGAGTGTTTTTCTGATTAAAAATATTTATCACAATAAAAAATATTAATATGTACATAGTAAAATTAATCGAACATATTTTATATCTTATCGAGGTAGACATTAATATTTTTCTTGTGGTAAATATATTAACCAGAGAAACTCTTATAAAATTTTTAGGGTAAATTCAAAATTCTCTCCGTAAAAAGATCGATCTCGTCGGATGTTTTGCGAAACACTCGATAATTCTTTCGCGACATAAACCGAAGACACCTTCGCGAGTTGACCGGAGGATTCAGTGATGATAGGACGCTCTGCAGAAAATGGGCGAAAGAATCCATAAGATACTTTGCTTTATGGATCTTTCGGAATCTTGGAATTATCTCACGATTAGCTTCAAGAGAGAATTGGCTTTGAACTTTTATCTCTTCTCTCTAGCGATAGAAAGAAAATCGAAAGGACATCTAATTGTAAGAGGATCCTAAACTTTTCCTCAAATGACACATTCACATTTCCATTTGACAGCAAAGGGATAAGGTTGACTTTTCGATTCGGTCGATTTTTCTGCAAAGCGATTAATGGTAAAATTGGGGGTGAAGACTAATCGAAAGTCGTGTCACAATTGAGCGAGATCGCGATAAGCGACTGCCAACTGCACCTACCAATTGGTCCTCCGAATTGTTTGTCAATGATTTGTACACGTGTTGCAAATTATAGATTTACTCCACTGCTCGTTTTTCTTTCTTTTCTTTTTTGTGTATCTCTCTATCTACCTCTCTCTCTCTCTCTCTCTTTATCTCTCGCGTACACATATTGCACGTGCGATACACAATTAGCTCTGTTATTTTTTTAAATATATATGTATATATATTGTTTACATTTGTTGCTACGTCAAATTTTCTCATTGCAAAGTATTCCTGTGTTATATTCACTCATTCGCTCATTCTTTTTCTCTCTCTCTCTCTTTCTTTCTTACTTTTCCTCGCGCGCTTACATACACACAAACACTCTTTCTCTCTCTCTCTCAGGATCTGCATTATTAACGGATTGTGCACATATACACGTATAATTAACATATACAACGTAGCGGTCGTTGAAAACATCCATGATTGACTTCTGCTACAATTATACAGCTTATTTAGAATACAACTGTTTTGTTACAAATGGTCAACGTAACGCCTGTAATGTGGATTTCTTTTTTTTTTCATGTGTGTTTTTTTCTTCGTGTAATATATATATGTATGTGTGTGCGCGCGCGTGCGTGTACATGTGTCTGTATTGATAGATTATTGTATTATCGTTAACGTAATTATAATTAATATTAGGCGTATATATATAGTACAGTTTACACACCGTACAATACATACATACAAGCACCCGCGACAACCGGAAAAATGTTTCTGTTCATAAAAAAAGAAAAGGAAAAAAGTAGATCGAAATTCTGTATATAATTTCGACTAGTTCGGACTTTAACCCTAAAGACAAAAATCTATAACGTTCTACAAATAATCCGGGTACGCGCTAATTGGATTTTTTGCACGTCTATCTATAGCAACGAGATCGAACTTATCGAAACTTACAGTATAGTAATATTCGTGATAGTCGAAATGTCAATTAATATACCCTCATTTTTCGATCTTGTTCTCGATAACGATTTGCAAGAATTTCGCGACATTTGCGCTCGATTAAGTGAATTAAACGAATGAATCGCGTCCGGTGTCGCGGGCGATTTCTGGCATCTCTTCTCGCTAAATGAACGCATTACACATTACACCTTATTACAGATTCAGTGATACATAATAGATACCTTTTTGTTTTTATTATCTCACTTATGTACAGAGGGCAGCTTGCCTATAGTAGGTAGGTAGATAGGTTTAACGCCGGATGACGACTGAAGTAGTAGTAGTAGTAGTAATAGTAGCGGGATGCCGGTACTCCTCGATAATTGACGCCAGATCGATGCTCCTGGTTCCTCTTGGAATATTTCGCGGTATCGTCAAACCTGTCACTATAATTCGGTCTTTGTCGATACCGCTATTAAATTCGCTAATGCTCTCTCCCTTAAATAATTTCGCGAAAAGTGCCATTTCGAGGTCCATACAATATATTGTATGATGTCGCCGAATGATAAATACTGATTATTACGTTAGATTATGCTGCGACATCGTGTTGTCGTCGAAAATTCGGAGATTTAACATTTTACAGTTCACCGAAGGTATGATACTCTCTTTCGATCATAATTTTATTCGAAGGATAAGTAATTGAAAATAATTAGTAAAACATAGCTAGAAAGAATGATAGAATTAAATTTATTCTTGCAATGCGATTCTCTTTTTTCTTGTCGCTTTTTATTGATAAATATTATTTCATTGAAAACAGAAACGCGCGACAGAAGAGACGTTAAATAAATTACATTTCGGTCCAAGATTAATGAAAACTAAAATATTGATAAATGCAATCATTTCTCCGAAACGTCAAGAGAGATTTAACATTTCAATCGATTTGAATAAGTGACACTTTAAAACGTCCGCAAAAACGTACTTCAGTCGCAATAAAAAATATATATTTGCATTTAGCATTCAAACTCTGGATTTTGAATTAATACTCGAACTTTTGTGAGTGAAAATTAATTGTGCATTTTGATCGGCGTCGTCACATTGTCATCGTGATGTTTATATCTAAATTATGAGAGTTATACTCGTCGCGAATCATCAGTGAATCATCGATTGCGCCTGAATAATCGAATACTATCGGTTAAAAAAATATTTCAAGTGTTAAAAAAGTTTGGAAACGAGAGGTTCTCTATATCTTTAGAAGATAGACGTAAAAGATTCCCTTTAAAAGCATATTGCTTAAATTTTCTCAAAAAACATCTCTTTCATTGAAATATACTTTGTATTTTATATATGTTTAAATCATTTTTTTTTTATAGAATATCCGATTGTAGATTGAACGTGAGACTTATTCAATCGCTTCCATGTGAATTACAACAAATATTAATGTAATAATATTTGCTAAAACAATCGTTCTTGCTCGCGTATCTTATATCGTTCTTGTAGTTAACCTTTCATCTCCTTAGGTCGTCGCAAATGTTTAATCGTTTCTCTGTCATTTAAAATTTTTATTGCCACAATAAAACACAAATTGTTTTAAAATACAACTAATATATATTTCTTAGTATATGTTTAAATAATATTTTTTTAGACAACAGTTATTACAACTCGCACAATTTCAATTTCGAAACAAAACAAAATTTCGCGCGTATATATTTGCATTGTCTGCATTAATTAGACAAAAGAAGCTAAAAGGTTAATTCGATTACATCGCCGATTAATCAATATTCTGAACTTGTGTAATTTTGTCGAATGATTGACGCTTATTGTCAGACTTTCTTGGGCGCATTTTACTTAATGCACGGACTTGAGTCACTCCCTTCGGTCGTCCCCGATATTTTTGCATGAAAAAAAAAAAACCTATAATGCCAAACATCGAGCAACATCGTTCCCGCTATCACGATCATCGTCATTAATTATTATCAACCGCGAAACGATACAATGTATCTTCGTACTTCTAATTTCTTTTTCTCGCGCGATTTTCTACTCTTTTTTTTTCTTCTCAACAACAGAAGTCCTGCATTATTTCGTTGAGTCCAGATCTCGATGCCACAAACATCGAAATTAAACTAAAACGAACATGAACTTTAACATTTTTCTCTTCAAATGTAATTTTTATAAAGGGGGCTAATTAAAAGCACAAATATTTCAGACTTTAACGTTTGCTGTCTTAAAGATTGTTTTTATGAATGATTGATCGCGAGTCAATTAAGTCTTTCGCTTTTTTTTGTTCTTTAAAAAAATAAGAGATCGGGACTAAATCTGAATTAAGATTAAGTAATTCTTAATATAGTGAAAAGGAGCAATTTTTCATATTGTTGATAATTATCGTAATCGATGTTACACTGAAAAAAAAATTTTGTTGGATTAACAAAAATTCTGTTCGAAAATGGACGAAACGGAATTCTGGTTGAATCTACCAGAATTCCTTTTAATACAACAAATATCTTGTTTGCACCAATAAACTGATTTGTTGTACAAACAAGATGCTTGTTGCATTAAAAGGAATTCTGGTAGATGCTTGTTGCATTAAAAGGAATTCTGGTAGATTCAACCAGTAATTCCGTTTTGTCTATTTTCAAACAGAATTTTTGTTAATCCAACAAAATTTTTTTTCCAGTGTACGTTTATATCTGAAGAGAGCGCGATGATTAACGTGTCTGCGGCATGGAAATTTGAACTTGTCCAAGTCCATCCCTGACTCTCGTCAAGCGGATGAACCGAAAGGAGGACCACGACCGATCGGTCGTTGGCCAATTCGGTCGTACCTCGATGATCACAATCGTTATGTGTATATATATATATATATATGTATATATAATTATAGCGTACATTATAGATTCATTTTACATGTGATCTCGCGCCAAGAAAGGATGAAAGGAAATATTAGATGAGAACAAAATACGGCCTCCGTAGTAAATAACGTAACGAAGGAACGACGAAGTAAGTGGACTAGTTAACTCGCCAGCGTCGCACACACGACACTTTCGCCTCCTTTTTTTCTTTTCCCTCCTTTCCAACACACGCAACACACACGTGCAACACACACATACGATCTCTCTGGGTTTCTTCTCTCCCTTCCGCGTGTCGCCGCATATTTTTAGCAATTACAGTTAGCGTTCGCTGGATTGGTCGGCTGATCGGTGAGTCGTTGACCCTTGCCGGTCTGACCCATACCGCCCGCCATCAGGGTTGGATCATTGTCCAAGGATTCGCTCATCTTGTCGCATATTATATCCACCAGCGTCTCGAACACCGCCTGTTGAAACGAGAAAGAGAGAGAATCGATCATATACGTGTGACCTCGCGACAAGCGGGATCGATATTTCCGCAAGTTCTCGCGGCACAATAAAGTAGGCGATCGTGTGTCAGAGATTTGTGAAAGGGCATTCAAAAATTCTCGTAAAATTCTGAATTATTTTCTCACTCTGTAAAACCAACTTGAAGAAATCAGTCTTTTTTCTTCGATGAATAGAGATTTGATATCGAATCAGAATTAATTCTTTGAAGGAAATACACGTACGCTACTTTTACTGTATAAATATTACGTATAAGACAAGACATTAATTGGCAACATTTTAATAATTGCGAAATTTCTATCTCGAGAATTTAATTTGATTTATCAAATTTTTGTTTCTAAGAGACAAGAGACGTACATACCTTAACATTGATATTTTCTTTGGCCGAGGTCTCGAAGAATCGAACCCCTAATTGTTCCGCCAACTGTTTACCTCTCTCGGAGCTGATCACCCTCTCTTCTTCCATGTCGCACTTGTTGCCCACGAGGATTACCTGGGCGTTGTCCCACGAATAGTTCTTTATTTGCGTAACCCAGTCCTGGACTGAGTTAAAGGACTCCTCGTTTGTGATGTCATACATTAAGATGAAACCCATCGCGCCTCTGTAATAGGCCGTTGTGATCGTTCTGTATCTCTCCTGACCCGCCGTGTCCTGTCAAAATAACCAATCAATCAAAGAATCAGCAATGTTCTGTACAAAATAAATATAATTGGTACATATGCTTTTACTTAAATGTAAAAGGTTACGTGATTATCAACGCAACTAGAAGCGGTACATTTATAATATATGCAAATCATTATTTTTTTATGTATATACCAGTTATCGTGAAAAATATTGTATGAACTTTTCTGATTACGCGTGCATAATGAACGAGCAAAGGTATACTGACCCAGATCTGTAACTTGACCCTTTTGTCGTGTCTGAAGACGGTCTTCACTTTAAAGTCAATTCCCACGGTCGACACGAAAGCCGAGGTGAAGGAGTCGTCCGCGTAGCGAAAGAGGAAGGAAGTCTTTCCGACAGATGAGTTGCCGATTATCAGCAATTTGAACATGTAATCAAAATTCTGATCCGCGGCATCTCTGCCATCCTGACGCGCCATCTGCGAAGGAGTTACACAGCTTTAGAAAATCATTTATTTAAACATTTTTGTTAATTTATAAGGAAGATTCGATCCTATATACATGTAGAAAATTATAAAAGATTTCTTACATCGAAATAATATAGATATATACATTATTTTTTTAAATTTTGGCATTCGGATTTACGGGTCGACGAATTTAAGGGAGAGGTGGTTCGTGTATTTCGATTAGCTTTGCACGTATTCGCATCGTAAAATGACATGATGGCTGTGATGGTCGAGAGAAGAAGCCGTTCGATGCAACAGATGAGTTTACGATGCATGATTCGTCACAGTTTATCGGACCGCATAATCACGTTCGAGAAAATATTGGATAAAAATATCGAAAAGTTTAGAGGCCACAAACACATGTAAAGAATCTATACGAGAGAAGGTTGGCACGGCTTTACTCGATTTTTTATTCGGAGATTTAATTTTGGTTCATCATTTCGGAATCGATAAAAGGCATTGTAATTAACTGTCAGATTGTCGATAATTTTCAAAAGGGAATTATTTGTATAACAGCTTTTTCCAAAGCTGATTTGTCTCTATTAAAGTAAAAATAAAATATTTTAATAAACAAATAAAAAATTGTATAGAGATTTTATAAAGTCATAATATTTGTCCGAATTTATTAGTATAGTAAAATAATATTGTGTACATGTCGTTCTCTCTTTCTTTTTCCGAAAATACAGTATTTATATTATTTCAACGGTATTGCCGAATGATGAATTAATTGTTTAATCTAAAAATACATATATTATATATGCATAACAAAATAAATAAATAATTTTTAAAATTATTGTTTGTTTTTGGGAGATTATAATAGGTTGAATAATTAAATGTAAAGCATTGAAGAAAAGTTATATTCGATTAGCAACTTGTAGTCATTTCAATAGTTCGTCAACTTGGCGCGTAACTCATTATAGTCTCATAAATCCGTCAGTTATGTAAACTGCGAGCGGAAAATTCAATTGAACCGCTCGATCGCGGAAATTATAAATCGTCAATATTATCGCGCGCGTGTAAAGAGTCTTTTAATTGAAGTCCATTGAATAAATATTCTCTCGCGCATTTTTTCCCCTTCGCTCAAAACGCAATAGGGACGTGTCGGAGTCGATATTCCGATATACCGTATTGTCCTTCTGCGAGGTAATCTCGACGATGGACAGCATCCGGGCCATCCGCGTACGTAGCTCGAAAACGGAGTCCTTAACGCAGGATGCGTTCTCGCACCTTCTCGACATTTCGCACGTAACATGTGTCACGACACCCGATTGATCTTTCACGTCCTTCACGCTCTTCCTTTATTGCGGCCTTCGATAACATTAACGGGACTCTCTCAATTTTCTCTTTCTCCCTCTCTTTTTTGCTCTCTAGTCCCGTTTTATTAACTGCAATTAATTATGCATTTTATCTTAAGTCGTCCTTTGTGATCTCGTTCTATTGACACTCTAATTTATTTACCGTTTAATCAATCGCCTCACGTTTCGTCAAACTAAAACTCATCAGCTGCTTCGTTAATCGCTCCTAGTCTTGCTTTATTAATTAATAGTTTCATCAAGGGCGCGTAACAGCTTATTTCAGTCGAATTATGCAACGCTTTGATTAACTGTAGTGTTCTTTTTCAAAATAGTCTGCGTCTTCGAGAATTATTTATAATTGATAATCCGTTATAATTATTGCGTTCGCACCATCTCTTTTCCACATCACCGTTCACCATTTATTCGTCTTCGAGACGCAAGAGACTGTACAATGTAGTCTCTCTCTCTTTCTCTCTCTGATCACTCAATTGTGCTCAATTAATCAATCGAGAATAATTCGCGGACGATTCTCCGAATAGGAAGAATTCGCTGAAGAAATTATGCACTCCATTTGCGACCAACGACATCGCGGGAACTTGACAGGAAACTCCGACTCGATTAAGTCGGAGCAACTAGCAACGTGGCCACGTTCGCGGTTCTATCTTTCTTTCTACCATATATTTCTTCCGCACGTATGCGTCGATGGCGATAATCAGCGGCTCGCGATAGTCTGCGGTTCGCGCAGGTGCGTACACATTCGCGTTCACGTCGAATAATTCATTCCTTACATTCGTCTCTTGGATGTTTACCCAATGAATCATTCAAGTCTTATCTCAGGTGATTTCTTAACCGACATTTTGTCCATAAATATCCGTTCAACCATATCTTTCTTCGCACATTACAAATTGTTATTTTTATATATAAATATTTCTCAAGATACGAGATGAATATTGCCAGTAGCAATTAAAATCAAGGTTGTTAAAAGTAAAATGATCAAACTGGCTATCAATGCAGTTTTTTGATTCAAACAGCAACGTTTCGATTCTGGAATTGGGTCCTCTTCGGGCAACAAAATTTTTAATTGTTTAAAATTATAAAATAGGATGTATAAGAAACATTACTGTTAACCAATGTACAAATTAAAATTTTTATACATTCTATTTTATAATTTTCAACGATTTAAAATTTTGTAGCCTGAAGAGGACCCAATTCCAGGGTCGAAACGTTGCTGTTTGAATAAAAAAAAACTGCGTTGATAGCCAAGTTTGGTCATTTTAATTTTAACAATCTTGATAAATATTTGTCTTGGCTCGAATTAAAATTATGAATTGATACAATTTTTATTGTTTATTTTGCCTCAATTCAGAAGAAGGGATTTATTTTTGCTTGTGTTCTTATACCTTGAGAATTATTTACGAGTCTTATTTAGGAAAAATCTATACCTTTACAAGAAGAGAGAGAGAACTTTCCAGTGTAATTTATTCAGCGTGACAGTAATTAACAGAAGAGTTCTCTTTGATAGTTTGCCTTCTCTCTCTCTTTCTCGACGCGGAAGTGACGTAGACGGGGCGATGTAATATGTAAGAGAACAAGTTTCAAAACTCATCGATTACCGGACTTGTCAAAAGTTACACGGCTATACGCACGATGGAAAATAAATCGGTGGATCAAGAGTTATAAATACCTCTATACGCGAATGTAAAACCGCGAGCGAACCGAGAAACTTTTAGATCCGGTTCCCCTATCGATTTCACGCTCGATTCGTCGTACGAGTTATTTCAGGAGCAAAAGTGTACGAACTGTTTCGCCGATACAAACTCACTCATTTTACTCCAAGTTTTTATATGGAAAAAAGACATAATAATCTCCAAGATGTATGAAATCTTTGATTGATTTAGGATTCTATTTTCCCGAGCGAAACTTTTCACGAACTTTTGAGATTTTATCATAAATCTTAAGCAGAAAATATCAAAGTTAAAATTTTCGATTAGAATCAATTTCTTCTAGAAACGAGAAATCTTTAAAATTCAATATTTTACATCTCTCTGTCGAATCAAATAATATATATAAATTTATTTTCTATTTTTGCGTTTGGGAAATTGAATCGACTCTACGTTCGCTTACATGTGATTGAAACATTATTGATGCCTCGACATTCTCGATTGAGAAATCCCAGATTGTACGAATCGCAGTTTTTCTCGGCTTATTTCGAATCTGTCACGTGTATCGGTTCTCGAATGTGAAAACCGGATCCGATCGAGACAATCGCGTGGAGTGCACTGCGTACAGTTATTTAATGAAAAAAGTGCGTGATAAAAGGATAAAATCTCGTCCGGAAGACTGCGTCACGCACTCATACACGCACGTAAACACATATGATACGATGTACTACGATAGTGATGAAAAGTAGGGCAAGGTTTTCCGTATACGATAACAATGTCGGTCGCCATATGTCATGTCACGTTTGTTAACTACGGTAGTAGTTCTGGTAAAAAAAAGAAGGTGCAAACATGTTGACATCGTATACCGTCTGCGCGCATTGTTGTACAGTGTTACGACGATTTCTTTGACGAATGGCGATGCGTAATTGAGCGTGTCTCTCATCGGTGGACAGATGATGATTGAGGCGACGGGCGTTTTACGGAGGTCAAGTTAGATACGGAAAATCGATGGCATGTCGACGGGACAAGTCCATTTCTTCTCGACGACTTGGTGCGCGCGAAATTCCCAAGTTAATTTTACTATGAATGCGGAAACGTCAAACGCAGCTGATAGCTGACGGTTCGATATTTGTCCCTCTTGCTTCCCAAAAACATTCTAGTTTTCAAATCTCAGATCTCTCTTTCATCACATATTTTCTTTAAAGCTCATCAAGCGTGTTTATATTTCCGTAAAAAGATCGCGGAAGAAAATTCGTCTTAAATATTCTGCGCCTTAATTTCCTAAAATAAAATATTCCTGAAAATTTGCAAAATAATTGAAATACAAAAATCGGTAAAATTTGAGCTGAAATATTGTACGTAGAATGAAAGTTGAGAAGTTGAGGGAAAAAAGGAGGAGGACGATAAAAAGATCGCGAAGAAAATTCGTCTTAAATATTCTGCGCCTTAATTTCCTAAAATAAAATATTTCTGAAAATTTGCAAAATAATTGAAATACAAAAATCGGTAAAATTTGTACTGAAATAATGTACGTAGAATGAAAGTCGAGAAGTTGAGGGAAAAAAGGAGGAGGACGATAAAAAGATCGCGAAGAAAATTCGTCTTAAATATTCTGCGCCTTAATTTCGTAAAATAAAATATTTCTGAAAATTTGCAAAATAATTGAAATACAAAAATCGGTAAAATTCATACTGAAATAATGTACGTAGAATGAAAGTCGAGAAGTTGAGGGAAAACAGGAGGAGGACGATAAAAAGATCGCAAAGAAAATTCGTCTTAAATATTCTGCGCCTTAATTTCGTAAAATAAAATATTCCTGAAAATTTGCAAAATAACTGAAATACAAAAATCGGTAAAATTCGAGCTGAAATAATGTACGTAGAATGAAAGTCGAGAAGTTGAGGGAAAACAGGAGGAGGATGATAAAAAGATCGCGAAGAAAATTCGTCTTAAATATTCTGCGCCTTAATTTCGTAAAATAAAATATTCCTGAAAATTTGCAAAATAATTGAAATACAAAAATCGGTAAAATTCGTACTAAAATAATGTACGTAGAATGAAAGTCGAGAAGTTGAGGGAAAAAAGGAGGACAGCTTTGATTTTTCTTTTGACTTTGACAACTGGACGTGAGTTGCCTTTCCGAAGAGAGCCATCGCCGCGTCGGATCATAATTATCCGATTCGTATTCGCAATCACGCCCGCGATCCAACCAGTCGATCCCCGTCGACGACGGCGACACGGGGAACGACATTGAAGGGAGCAAATATTTTCGGAGAGGCAAATCGATTGTTACACCCGGTTGCCCACCCACGCTCGCGCTCTCGCGCCGCCCGTCCGTTACGTAGTTTCGATTTCAGTGCATCAGTAGAATGAACGGCGGCGAAAGATGGAGCCTCCGTTTTACGTCAGAGGCACGCGCGTCAGCGCAGGAATACTCGAGTCTTTTTAACTTGCCTCTCCTCGCCATGATCGAAAACGAATATATAATTCCTTCGAGATGTTCGACTGATTGAGAGGGCGCGATTAGGGCTTCCTTTATTCTGGAAAATAATCACGAATGCTTGTCAGTTTTATCGATCTTCAATAAACCGATGGAAGACGACAAAATATTAACAGCTGTAAAATGAGGAAAATCAGGAATAAAAGTGTGACGATGAAATTGAAATGATGAAGCAAATGCGATTGTCAAAAATAGAAGGTATCTGACGAAGTTATAAATAATTCATATCATTTTGTTTTACATCATTTTCTGTCTGGAAATATTTAAGACTCTTCTCGAAGAATATTCGTATTTGTATCTGCTCGAAAAACTCATATCGATGATTTATCTTACAATGAAATACACCGAAAAATGGTTTTAATTATCGTGCCTGATGAAGGCCGATGCTCAGCTGGGTGTTGCACGACAGGGAACTAACTTATCAGCGTGTTCTCTTCTATCTCGGTTTTCCTCAGCTTAATTTCGAGAGGAGGAAATTACTCGAGTAGGAGAAAATGTATTTGCGCCGCGAGGATCGCGAGAATAAATGTCGACGAATGAAATATAAATGGTTAGGCTTTTGCGGAATTGATTGAGAGAGAAGGAAGCATGGTCACCCACGTCACGACGACTCTACGGCGTCGCATGAAACGCAGAAAACGAGCTCGAGTGAATGAAAAGTCTGGCGATCGTGCCCGCAGTTTTCGCGACTGACAGAAAGCGAGAGAAAGCTTTCGACATACTTACATACATATCGAAGATTCGAAAACCTCGTACGTGACAAATATATAAGTGGAATGGAGAAAAAAAGGGCTAAAATCAAAATTAAGCTTTTCCTGCATAAATTGGTGAAATTGATTTTTGTGGAAGTAGAAAAGGAATAAAATCAAGCAACTATTTCAAAGTAGACGGAGAAGCGGGCAGAAACCAAGAGAAAGAGAGAGAGGGAGTGCGAGAGAGATGGAGATAGTTGAAGAGAAATCAATAAGCGAGTTATCGCGACGAGTTGACTTTTCTGGAGGAGAAAAATCGCGAGTTCTCGCCTTCCGTCAATCGCCTCGATTCTCTCGCGGACGGTCAAAGTGTCACCTGGAAGAGTCACTCCCTGCGGACGGGGAAGGAGATTGTCTCCCTTCGCGGATCGCTCTTTCGGATGACGCTCGAAATCTGGGGAAATCCTGCGCCTCAAATTCGTCGTCGTCGTCGTCGTCGTCGTCGTCGGCTGTCGATGCGACGTGAGATGCGACGACGGATGCACCACGCGTTGACGTTGCGCTCGGCTACCGATCGATTGATATTTAACGCGCACAGAAGAGGGGTTGAACGATGCCGAGTTCTCTCAAGGGGCGAGAGAGTGAGAGAGGGAGAGGGATGTTTTCCCTCTCTCGGAACCGCGCTCTTCGCGATCGCGGATCACGGTCAGCACTATTTCTCGTAGCGGAGACTGCTGCTGGACTGCTCGAACTCGCCGAAGAGTCTCTCGCCACCGTAGACCGCCCGAGTTGGTGGAAGTCCCTATATAGCCAAAGATATCGACCATGTTCGAGGACGACGGGCGGGGGTCGTCGTAGACGACGATCCCGCGGGGGTAGTGGAATCCGCGTCTGCGCGTCACCGACAACCCCCGACTCGACTCGCATCAATATAATCGTGAATAGAAGCACACCTCGACCGGGGAGAGAGAGAGGACACTTGTTGATCCGCGGGGATGTAGGCCGCGGACGACTCTGCTCGAGTCTAAGCGGAGTTCCCAGGATCGAGATCCTGCGAGAAGATCGAGAGATCGATGTTATTTTGCGATATTCCCTCTTTTAATCGAAATGATTGACGATGAATGTGCAAGGGAGAAATTCAAAGGCACAAACGCACTCTTTTTTGTCTAGGAAGGTATATAGCTTTTTTTTGAATTTTCTTATTAAAATAATTTTGTTGTCGGAAAGAAAAAGAAAAGAATGACAAATATACGGTAAAATATTATTTGAATCGAAGGTTTGATTAATATGAAAAATCGTATGCTTGATAATGAATATACAAGAGAAAAATTCAAAGACACAAACGCACTCTTTTTCATCTAGGAAGGTATATAGCTTTTTTTTGAATTTTCTTATTAAAATAATTTTGAAAGAAAAAGAAAAGACAAATATACGGTAAAATATTATTTGAATCGAAGGTTTGATTAATATGAAAAATTGTATGCTTGACAATGAATATACAAGGGAAAAATTCAAAGGCACAAACGCACTCTTTTTAATCTAGGAAGGTATATAGCTTTTTTTGAATTTTCTTATTAAAATAATTTTGGAAAGAAAAAGAAAAGAATGACAAATATACGGTAAAATATTATTTGAATCGAAGGTTTGATTAATATGAAAAATCGTATGCTTGACAATGAATATACAAGGGAAAAATTCAAAGGCACAAACGCACTCTTTTTAATCTAGGAAGGTATATAGCTTTTTTTGAATTTTCTTATTAAAATAATTTTGGAAAGAAAAAGAAAAGAATGACAAATATACGGTAAAATATTATTTGAATCGAAGGTTTGATTAATATGAAAAATCGTATGCTTGACAATGAATATACAAGGGAAAAATTCAAAGGCACAAACGCACTCTTTTTAATCTAGGAAAGCATATAGCTTTGTTTTGAATTTTCTTATTAAAATAATTTTGGAAAGGAAAAGAAAAAGAATTACAAATATACAGTAAAATATTATTTGAATTGAAGGTTTGATTAATATGAAAAATCGTATGCTTGACAATGAATATACAAGGGAAAAATTCAAAGGCACAAACGCACTCTTTTTAATCTAGGAAGGTATATAGCTTTTTTTGAATTTTCTTATTAAAATAATTTTGGAAAGAAAAAGAAAAGAATGACAAATATACGATAAAATATTATTTGAATCGAAGGTTTGATTAATATGAAAAATCGTATGAAAAGATTTTAATCAAGTTTAATACTTTTTATCTCTCATCTCTTTCTCTCTATCTATGAAAAATAATTAATTCAATTCTATTTAAGGATCTGTAATGATAAAATAAACAGATTTTGATGTGATGGATCATTAGATAATCTGCATAAATAGATGTTTCTATTTTGACGTGTGCAATGATAATGCTTAATATGTACATAGTATAAGCAGAATATGTCATCCAACTATTTTTGTAGCGTGAGAAGTGAGTGATATAAATCTATGTCTCGTAAATAAAGACAATCACGCGTTCCATCTACAGCAAAAAGGAAGAACCACGAGTTCTCTCTTATTCTATTGATTATTATGCTCTCCATTAATTATATTTTAATTTTATATAATTTAAACGACACTAAATCTCTCTTATTAGAATATTATTTCATTATTTTTAATCGATTTATATATTAAAATAATGAAATTATTACTATAGTAATAAAAGAATTTAAGTACGTAAAATATTTAATAGAATTTTTAGGGATGGATTATTTTTAATTTGCTCATTTATAAAGCATGTAAATTATATAACAAAGCTCTTTATTTAATACGTATAATTATAAAAAAGCATAAAAACTAATATATACAACATTTCTGTTTGTTAATTATGTTTTATTCAAATTTTGTCATTCTCTCGAGAATGCATAAATAAATTATTTAATGAGTTTTATGATTTATCGAAATATATATCTTTTATATTTAGTATTAAAAATCACAGATGAACAATATATGACAATTATATTTTTTAGTACAGTGAAACCTTAATTCTACTTACAATCAGACGTTACACATCTTTATTTCTTTCTCTTTCTCTCTATTAAAATATATCTATTATAATTTCAATAAAATACATATGTAAATCTTCACAAAAATAAAAAAGCTTCTATAAGCAGTAACAAATTTAAATCTTTTTCTCGAGCATTTCTCTACTCGAGAGTTAGGAACGCTTTGTGGCAGCTATTTTCTTTTTATGAAATAAATAAGACTGTTAATTCTAACATTGTCAATACATTATTGTCACTTCAATTTGTTCGCAGAAATCTTTTTAAGAAAATCGCATAATTTACGCGTCTAATATCATATATGTCATATAACTTTCTTCTCTCCGCTATATTATTTTTCAATCAATCAATCTTTACATATCTATTATCTTTGAATCGCATTACATTATTCATAGAACAGCTCTTTTTAAGGCACAATTCCTTTCCTCGTTCGCATTACAGCAGAAAATAAACCGCATAATGTATTTAATTACACATCTCATAGTTTTTTGCATTCAATTATATCACCCAAGATTATGTAAAATTCCGTTTAAAAAAAAGCGGAATTACGTAATTCATTGTCTATATGATTTTTAACAGAGAATACTTGAACTAGTTTGAATAATTTCCGCGAAGAGCAAGATATATCCGAAAAAAGCGCGCATTGCTAAATTATTAATTTAATTCTACAATCTACTCTCGATATTTTCGTCGTGTACGATCGCCGAATTCGCGACCGCCCATTTCTCCTTGATGACGTGCTGCTCCTTCTTAGGTCGATTCTTCAAATTCTGTATACCAGCGAAATGTTCCTCGATCTCCATCAAGGTTCTGTTCTCGGTCTCGGGTAGCATTATGAACAAGAAGCACAGACCGGCCAAGTTTACCAGAGAATTGAAAATAAACGTTCCGGATAGTGTTATGCCTCTTATCATGTAGAGGAAGGTTTTATTCGCGATCGATGCTAGAATGTAACCAACCATCCCGGAAGCACCGGTTGCGCTGCTGCGCACCTATATTTTCAATATAAATTTCCAAATTATTCACGAAACGCAAAGCTAAATCAATAATGCGGTATAAGCACAAGTCTATATAGATATGTTTAAAATCAGTCTGAATTAAATTTATATTAATTTAATTTCTATATAAGATCAATAAGACAAACATTGGTGAGAAAGAGACAATCACACGCACCTCGACCGGATACACTTCGCCTATCAGAACCCAAGGTAGCAATCTGATTCCGAAGCTTGATACGAAAGCCGCACCAATCATGAGAGTAGTCGGCAACCAGGCGTATGTGGCTCCGTCAAAATACTTGGCATCGTTCAGATAACCGTAGACAGCGGTGATGAAGAAGCACAGACCGGTCCCGGTGACCGATATGAAGGACAATTTGCGTTTTCCCAAGAAATGGATCGTCACCACGCAGATTGTGGTACCGACCAATTGAGCGACGCCCATAAACACCGTGGCCGTGTATTTGTCGATCGGTGCCTGGAGTTTCTCGAAAATAAGGACGGCAAAGGTCTGCAAGGTCGAGGTGCCGCCGAAAGAGCTGATGAAGAAGGCTGCGCTCACCAGGATGAAAGGCCGATAAAACGTGCGTTTAGTATACGATCGCCAGATTTCCTTCTTCTCGGAATCTGCGTTGTCGACCCGCTTCTGGACCGTCTCGCAAATCGTCTGAAACTCGTCCTGCACCTGCGACGGACTCGCCCAACCTCGCAACCAGCAGAGAGCCTGTTCCGATTCCGCGAAACGACCCTTAGCTGAGAATAATCGGGGTGTGAAATTAATTGGAATTCATTAATATTTATTAAATGTTTGAGATATTTCTATTTTATTTATATTTATTTTTTTAAATATTTTAATACATATTTTTAATAAAAATATTTATTAGAATATTTTTAAAAAACATAAATAATTGGAGACATCACCTGCGAGCCAGTGCGGGCTCTCGGGCACCAAACACAAAGCGAGAAAACAGACGACCGGATAAACCAAGTTGATGATCGCCACCGTTCTCCAGTGGGCCAGACTGCCACTCAACATTTGCGTGAAGACACCCAGGATGACTGCCATCGAGGAGGTCGCCGAGAGCATTCCGCGCAACTTGGGCTGACAAACTTCGGCTACGTAGGTCAGGACAGGCGCCTCCAAGAAGCCACCCGTCAGACCTGTCATTGCTAGTGCGGCAAATAACATGCCAGGATTACTGGCGTAATAATATATCAGCCAGGCAATCACGAACGGTATATTTGTCAACATCATTGTTCGTTTCCTGCCCAAATACTGTGACAACGGTCCGCTTACGAGGCAACCGATCGGCACGAGGAACAAGTTCAAACTGCCTGCGAAAAGGGGAATACATATTAATAATTAAAAATATCAATAAAATGATTTATTAAATAAATTTATTATGAAATAGAGAGAAAATTTTAATATAATACATAATTATTAAATATGTATGATGATTACATCATCAAAAATAATTGGTGTATAATAATTAAATGTAAATTAAAATAATTTAAACATGTGTAATTTATATATATATCGATATGATTTATAATATAAGTATATTTATACATATATTTTTAATATTAATTATTGGAGACATGAATTTGAATTTTAAATTGCGAAAATTATTTTATAAAAAAACAAAATTAGATTTTTTTTTTTAATTCTATGTACATTTGTTTCGAAGGAAAGACTTTGAAAAATTCTACACTATTCTCAATACTGAATTTATAAACTGATTCTTACTAATCCACGTTAATTCTTCTGTTGTGACTTTGATATCCGAATCTTCTTTCTCTAATGCTGGAATAAGGATAGTCACGAATCCTAAGGTTGATCCGAAAGTGAGCAGCAGTAAATTTTTGGCAGCGACGGCGCAGCATTGTGGTACTGCTTGTCGAAGTTTGGAAATGTACACTACTTCGACTGATTTGTCATCATTCCTAAAATGCAAATAGAAAAGCTGCATAATTGTAATGCACGTACTGATAAAAAAATACATTATAATGATATAATTATGGAGAATCGATATTTGCAATATTTCCTTAACACAAGGATTAATCATAATTATTAATAAATAAGAAGATTAATTTTGATATTCATAATTTTTGATATTTATTGAAGTACAGATTTTTAAAAGTTATAGCCGCATCAATTATTCAATTAAAATTTTATTGAAAGAAAGAGAGAGAGAGAGAGAGAGAGAGAGAGAGAGAGAGAGAGTGTAGTGTATATAGAATAGTTTATAAAACATTTATATGCGTTAAACTCTTAATAAAAGATATAGACCCAGTATTTATAATGCATGACTTGTGAAAACGATAACTGCTCACGCTTTAAAACAGTATCGTAATAATAGATTTTGTTTCTCGTAGAAGATAACGGCAATATTATTCATTGATGAAGGAATGTAATAATTTCATTGTTTCCAAAGTTTTTCTATATAAATTTTCAGATATTTATTCTTTTGTTTCAATATCGACGCAATTTTTCCATTTAAAATTACTGTAAAATTACTCTAAAACTATTTGGCGCTACAGTAAATCTTATTGTTAGAGAACTTAGCATACTTTAAAGATCTTTAAAAGTCTACGTGCACTACATTGAACTCTCAATCAGTCAAATAAATGACCTCAAATAGAATTTACATAACTCAGATGGTCGGAATAGAAGTCTCACAAATTCGCGATGTCAAATGAATTTATTTGCTAGACGATTAAACACGCATATATAATTAATTAGACACACAAGCTATAAGAAATTATCTTACTAAAGATATACTGCTATTATAGATTAAACTAGTATCGATTATGCAATTAATTGGATGACAAATCTAACAAGAAACATATATTTACATATAATAAATGATTTTAGAATATATTATCACATTTTCAATGCAATGAATAAAGATAGAAGATAATTACACGTAGACTCATATATATGCAAATCAAAATAGAATAAAGATAACAATATATGACACTTCGTGTAATTTCTCTATTGAGAAAAGTACACGAGTTTACTGAAACGCAATCTTTCCACCTTGCTGAAGCATAATGACGATCCATTTACAACGCCTTTCACTTGATGTAATCGCATTGCTTTCGGCGACAATCTCTACAGCGATTCTGAGATAGAGTTATTTAATGATGCAATTGACCAAAAAAATTTAAATTTATCGTAAGTTACTTTTTATACGTCAATAAACGACTGATCAATTTTTCAATCAATTTATTTTTGAGATGTCGTTGGTCATTAACAAACTCGGCGACTGCAATTTCATATTGATTTTTTTATATTTCTTAAATTATACACACACTTTTTTGTATATAATATTTATTCATTAAAGTAAATTATTTTACAATAATTTTGACAGAAAATTAAAACCGAGAAGACTTGTCGATTCTTTTTTTTTTAGTTATGCGACATTATAACATATTTGCCTTCACTTTGTTAATTATTTCGTGAAAAAATATTTTAATAGGTATCTAATGCTATAAATTATAATGCAAAAGATATCTGTGAAAGATGTGAATGTATATTGAATATTATGAAATTATTTACAATTTATAAATAAAGGAAGAGTGCGTAAATGATAAGATCTTTCTGTGATTAAGAGATTAAAATAATTCGATAATGCCGATGTGAGTTTTCGCGGAAATTGCCAAACCAATTTACGATGATCCACATGTTACGTTGCGCAAACGTTAAAGAACACGCGCGATGATTACATAAACACGATGACGATTGAGGCACCTTTTGTGTCCAATCATGTCAGTTTGAAACCGCTAGGCATCGCACGAAGTACCGGCAAACAATACGACGATTAGTGCGAATGGATTATTTACGCAAGGCCGCGGTAAAACATTCTTTCCTTAATCGGTCTTTCGCGCCTGCATATACTTTGCAATAATTCCTCTCTTTTTTCCATATTAAGTCGTGGGAATGAATGTACCACTTCGGGATTTAAGTAAGGCACGTCGCTCGCGGATGCGTGTCATTCCATCATTCTGAATGAAATGAACCTGACGATGATGTAACACGACCGACCATGTAACGCGATCTCAATTTGCCACCTGTCCGAGCATGAAAATGTGTGTTTCTCGCATACACTCTCGCACTTTTACTATTTCTACCAAGAGGCCTCTTATATATGCACAATAAAAAATAAAAATACGCAAATTTACAAAATAAGTATGAGATGTGACACATAAATTTTGCAAACGCGCGGTTTTTCTTCGACAGTTTATCCAACGATTACTTCAGATTGATGATAAGTCTCGTTCGTCATAATTTTTAAATGTTAATTATTTCCAACATTAATTTAAAATTCTGTTTGGAAAATAAACGCGCAGACGAGTCAAGTATGGTTTAAAAAATTCTAGTTATGTAACATTTTTAATTGGACGTTCTTGACACGTCGAGAAATTTATTAATCGGTACTTGATGATATTTGCAATCAAACTCGGATGCGCTTCTGACAATTAAGTGTCTTTCGTCGCGTCGACTTTAACACCGCTTCACTTTTGTAGGATATTAATTATCCAACGACATTAAATGCAGAGAAGGAAACAGATTTTGTCTGAAGATAGTGCTTATATAGAGACGATTATTCGCGAGCCATTCGATTCCCAGCGACGTTGAGTTATTACATTTCACTATTAATGCACGGTGTGTTTACTTTGTAAATAACATAATAATGACGTTAAAATATGGTGGAATCTCTGCTATTCGAATTTTTATTATATTCGAATGTTTTACCGTTTGTGCAATGTTTACTTTCAAAAGAAAATGTGCATCCTAAAGCATTCGTAACGTTAGATAAATTATCGGGAAATTCGTTTAGAGCCGAACGCGAATATCTCTCTTTAAAATTTACTGTATAATATTTTTAACAATATAATTATATTTTTAATAATATTTTAATAAATAATATTTTTAACGAATATCTCTCGTCCTTAATTTACTGTATAATATTTTTAACATACATATATTCGCGAAATTTTGTTCCACTAATTGTAAGAAAAACTCCATCTGCTAAGTTTATACATCCAGGAATTTTAGAACATTTATGAGGTAAAAATATCACGAAATACGTGCAGAGAATATTTCGTGTTACTTGTATTTTTCATTTTTTTTTTCGCAGATAAACTCTATAATCTTTCTATTATCCGACAGTTATAGTTCCTTGCGTGATGTCTGTTCGTGAAAAACGAGAATAGATACGTGTCTCATCCTTATCATTGACATATAAGTAGTGTCGTTATGCACTTACGTCATTATGTGTCGCACAATAATTGAGCCAAACCCGCAAAAGAGCTCTTTTCCGGACTTTTCGAACGCGCCGCACTAAATGAAAACTTCGTGACAGTTGTCGGATGTTGCTTAACAGTGTCGATGAAACAATTATTGTATTAATGAGATTTCCCATCGTCGCACCTGATCGAATGCAAAGAAGCTTTCGCAGACACGATGTGTCTGATTGACGTAGAGAGTATTAACGAGTCTCGACGCATAAAGGCGGCATTAATGCAATAAGATTGTCGGCTAGTGACCCACTTGTAAAATGGCAGATACGATTATTGCCTTTCTATTGCAATTAATGATCTTTAATTGGTAGCGCGTCACTCGAATTGCATTAACATTAGAATTGCATGGGTTATTTATTGGATAATTTACAGTTTCGTTATCTAATCTATGTTTTACAATATGAGTAATAAACAAATAATTTTTTTCTGAATTTAATTCATCGGTCATTCATTACGAAGCAATTAAAAATGAATAATCAGTATAGGAAATATAATAATTTGTCTAATGATTTTACGATCAGAGTAAAACAGTTAATGTTTCAACAATGTTCTTGAAGGAAAGAGTTTTTTTGCAGTAATGTTAAACTTGTACGAGAATAATTTTTAATTTTGCATTTTAATTGCACTAATAAATAATAAGTTCATGGGTGCATTCGATTGTGACTCGGGTTTTTATTCTTTCGACAAAATATGTATATGTTACGTAAGTATATAATGACGTATGCCAGAATAATATATGTGAACAAAAAAGAGAAAATTGTTAGGATCGTTAGGGATTATGCGAATGGGAATTTAATAATAATATCTGACTTCCTGCAATTTCCTTAATGCCCCTACAGTTTTATTGATTAATTGTAAACTTATTAGCGTTAGCTAGCTTTTTCTAACATAGTCAATCAACAAAAATAAAAATATACATACGTTTATTACGAACATGATATAAATGCGATCATAAAATTTTAATTATAAATTTTAGGGAATCGCGAATATATAAACTGATATATGTACATAATTAAAATAATTTACGAAAGATGCAACAGTTATTTGTGCATTGCTTTTTTTTTAATTTATTGATATTTACTGTTCTTATCAATATTCCATTTTTTTATGTTTTGAAATTAATTAATTATCTATTAATCAGATGATTATATCATTTCGATTAAAAAAGAATTACTAGCAGAGTTTAGGTGAACCGAGTGGAACAAGTAACAAAGAGTAGACAATGACTGAATTCGTGATTAATATTATATAATAATGAATTTCATTCCAATTTATTGACATGATATTTCAATTTACATGTCAAATTTCGGATAACTCTTACGCAATAATATGTTGAGCAAGAAAGAATTAAAGATAGTAATATTTTGTCATTTCCTTTGTAATATACGTATGTACATAATCGTAAAACCATAATTTGTCATGCATGGCCACGAAGTTTAATTTTGTAAAAACCGGCAAATTATGTCACTAACACGTTTCTCTGTCACGGAATTCGCCTTGAAATCTATAAGATGTCGACATCGGTGCTCGTTCAAATTTTTAATTCTTTGTATCCGTTAGTTTGAGGTCGAATTAATTTTACATACATTTGCGATTGAGAACTGGTTGTGAAAGTTGATAAACCGACGTTCTAGTTAATCTCTTCGAGAAAGCGATTTGTTTTTGTTTGCAGATTATTAAAGCTGCAAGTTTTTTTAATATATATATATCCTGAATATTTGCATTAATTAAAACGTTCTCAATTAATACGAAGTAGTTGAGCTAGGCAATACGAATAAGATCTAACGGATTATTTAGCGTAATTAATTTTTAGAAGAAAATTCTCATGTCGTTCGAGAAATGTCGTTTAAAAAAAGAAGCATAATACTTTATTTAATTAGATAAAAACTTAAAATTTTTTTCTAAAAAAATAATAGCAAAGAGGTCTTATAGTTACAGATCAGCCTCGAAATTTAACACAAAATCTAATATTTCGTAAGATAAGATTAAAAGTTCTATTTTTATAGAAGCTTTACGAATTTGTGTAAAAAATAATAAAATGTTCTTTCTCTCTTCTTTTTCACAAATTAAAGTTATACGATTTAGAACAAAATATATTGTTTTCTGGAGATTCTCATTCATAATACTTACATACAGTTTCTTTTACGAGGAGGTTTAAGCCTCGTAAAAGAATGATTTATTATAATCATAAATATTCACGTGCAGAAAGAATAAGCTCTTTTTAACAACATTCTTTTCATACGAGAAAGAATTTCGCAGCGATGTCGCGATTGTGTAAAGGAATATGCGCTCGGAATCTCTTACGAGTCGTTTGTACGCAAAATACAAAACTGATGACGAACCTCTTTTCGTTTTCCACGCACTCGGATGCTGCCATCTCGATCAGCTTGCGATTCAATCTTCGGGTCTTTAGGGCACGTGAGTCGCTTGTGGTTTCACGCGTACCAGATTCTTCGTAGCATGTCGAAGGACGACAGTGTCGGTACTAGGATGACCTCCTTTCGAAGAACTATGTAAAATTAGATTTTTGCAATAAAGTCACCGATTCCGATTTCCTCGAAAATATGGCGCGAGAAAAGAATCGAAAGCAGCGAAAGAAAAGAAGAGAATTGCAATAAGTTCCGAGTTGTATGGACGCATTTCTAAGAAGTCGGAGGAATTGGATTTATGCAAACCGGTTGTGTATGCTCGGTTCGTTGTTACTTCAATATCTGTGTTTACATTTGATAAGCGTGCGATTTTGAAAAGTGTACGGAAGTGTAATTTGCATATAAATAGCACGCTAGAGACTAAGAAGTATAGCTTATTAGTCAAGAAACATTAATGGAAATTTATTCTGCGGATTTGTGTAATCTTCGCAATAAAATTTTCAGTGTAGGACACATGATTTTTTATCTGTTTTAATTTATCTTCTTTGATTAATTTTATTAATATATTTGAGATATGTAAATATACCTACTTCAAAAAATTTATAGATAGTGTCTTAGATCATCGTGCTCTTTTAACCATAAACAAAATTAATGAATTACAATAAATTGCATTAAGATATCTGTGGATTTGTGTAATCTTCGCAATAAAATTTTCAGTGTAGGACAGATGATTTTTTTATCTGTTTTAATTTATCTTCTTTGATTAATTTTATTAATATATTTGAGATATGTAAATATACCTACTTCAAAAAATTTATAGATAGTGTCTTAGATCATCGTGCTCTTTTAACCATAAACAAAATTAATGAATTACAATAAATTGCATTAAGATATTTGTGGATTTGTGTAATCTTCGCAATAAAATTTTCAGTGTAGGACAGATGATTTTTTATCTATTTTAATTTATCTTCTTTGATTAATTTTATTAATATATTTGAGATATGTAAATATACCTACTTCAAAAAATTTATAGATAGTGTCTTAGATCATCGTGCTCTTTTAACCGTAAACAAAATTAATGAATTACAATAAATTGCATTAAAATATCTGATCGTGTATGGAGAACGAGTTTTTGGTAAGTACCTTGATGCATCTACTTGTCATACAGGTTTCTTCCGCTCGCGATGAGTTCGACTGTGTGATTTTCGTGTCTGATTGTAAAAATATGAACAATTTTTTCAAAGCTTCTTCCACCGCAGAAAAAATTAATCAGTTTTTTCGTAATGTCATGACGCTTAACTCTCTTTTTTTATAGCGCTACTTCATTGAATTTAAGCGTCTCAAGTCCAGTATTGCGCTACAAGTGTCACGATATAAATTATACCAGTTTTCTCGTCAAAAATTAACTTATAATTCTGTCGAAAAAATATATTGCTTTTGCCAAACACAGTCGCACTTTTTTCCTCTATTCTCATTTATTTAAATTTTTCATAAAAAATCTCACAAAGGCGTGGCGGTTCTAAAAGTCTCTAGACTGTTTCTATTTTCCAAAGTCTTGCATTACAATCCAGAGAAGCGCGGGAAAGAGCGAAAAATTGAAATTATTCACTGAGAAAAATGTCTCGTCGCGTAAGGAAAAATATTTCGCGCTCAGTGGATGCGGAAAGCGTCCGAAGATTGCCGGTTTACATTATTATATTAGATCGGGACGCCGCGATGCGATGGACTAAACGACGCGCAGCGCGAAAGCCGCGGGCGAGCTGCACTTTCGATTTTGTGAGCTCCCTCCTTCGACATCTACCTTCCTCCTAACGGAGATTGGAGGCGAATCGGTACACGTACGTGTAATCATACGTATTGACCTCTTCCCTTCTCTTCTCTCACCTCCGGTCATTTTGCCGTAATTATATCCGCTGTACATGCACGCGATGATGAGCTGTCAGAATAACAGGATAGGTGATAGGATTAAGTAATTCGTGGATTTTCCGCATTGGAAAAAGAATTGGTTGCATTAACAAAAATGCAGTTCGAAAATGAACGAGAATTACTGGTTCAATCTATCAGAATACATTTTAATGCAACAAGATTGTATAAAATTTATTTGAATTAATATGAAAAAGATTGTCAAATAATTTTCTGAACATTTTTCTCTGTTCGAATGACATTCACCAGATGTAATTTAAAAATATATATTTTTATACGTAGGACAATATAGATCGATTGTAAAATCGTTATAAGTTACGAATTTATTTTCATAAAAAAGGATTGTCTCTTTCGAAATTGATGTAATTACATTTATATAATTATATTATTGTATAATCACGAAGCATTTAATGCTATATTTTATGCATGTAAGAACTGTAAATACTTATTACAACTTGCGTGATTCTGCTATTAATCACGAATAAGTATAGAGATACTAATTTCTTGTATCATCAAGTTTTGAATTCATATGTTAAAATTTTAATCATACTGGAAAATTTCTAAGTAATATAATAGAATATTTTTTCCAAGACAAGTTAATTTGAAAAGAAGATTTTCAATAGAGGAAATCAAATATTTAAATAAATATACATAAATTATGACGATAAATTCGCCATGTTCTTTTTCTAATAATAATTAATGCATTTATTTGCATCCAGCATTAACAAGTATGATAGACTTCTAATTACATTTATATCAATTTATTTTGAATCACATTATTTTTTGCTTTATATGAGATTAAAATTGGATATCGCTTTGCATTTGAATTTGCAAGTAGGTATCCTTCATTTATTTTGCATGAAATGCAACATTTTTTCATTATATGACCTGTCACGTAACGATTTTATTTACGCACGAATGTCATGCAAATATCTACTTGATTTTTTAAACGTTATCTGGAATAACAGTTATCAAAGATATTTGAACATATCATATCATTAAAGAGTTTTGAAATCGTCGCATCCTTGTATGCAGATACATTCTATGTAATTTTATATTTTTATTTAATTTTTTTGCAAAGAAGCTTTCCGCGAGATTATTGTATTTATTAATTACATTAATTATTTCATATCTATGCTTATGAATATTAAAGAGCAAATATTTAATTAAACAGATCAGAAATAAAAAATATGAATGTATGCGTATATGGATGTATGCGTGCATATATGAATAACATAGATAAGAAATAATTATTTGGAATCTTCCAACTTTGTAGCAATATATGGAGATAAAAAAATAGTTCTTTTTATAACCATATTATCTTAATACAACATTTATTACTTTTCTAAATAGAAATTACGAGTAATATGTGTTAATTGCTATAAATATTGACCATTAATAGATAACACACATCGGCACGTGGTACCGTTGCGAAACGATAATAATATGCCGCTACGTGTCCCAGATTGTATTCTCCTTCGCAATTGACATTAGGTTTGAACATTTTTCTCGGAAACATTTTTTGTGTTATTATTTTGCCGTCAATAAAAAAATCGATTACAGATAAAATTCAATCATTAATTATAGTTAAAAAAAAATTTAATTAAAAAAAAATAAAACATGAAGAGGAACAAAAACATATTGTCATACAATTATAAGTTATTAATCATATATGTGAAATGAAAGTGACAGAAAAAACTAATAAAGTATAGAAATAAAGAACTAATGGTTAAAAATATATTTTTTCTCTTCATGTTTTATTTTTCTTTTAAATTAAAATTTTTTTTAATGCTTTATATCGGGTGTAGAGTGATCAAGTAACCAATATCCATTTCAATTAGATCAATTTTCAATACTGTGTGAGCTAAATATCTGTTCGTGTTTATATTGTCTCGAATAAACACGAAGATTATTTTTCAGTGTTTATATTTATAGTAATTGAAATGCGAAACTGCGGAAAATGCTTCTTTCCTTGTTTACACATTATTGTTGTATAGTTGAGCAAGCAGAAATTTTTAGAGAATATTATATTAGTAATCACAAATTCATCATATATTTTATAAGAAATTTAAGCGACTGGCGCATTTTTTCCACAAACTTATAACAGAAAATAAATCGAATATGAATTTAATTACACGCGTTATTTGTTTGATTATCATTCAATTATCATTCAATATCGTATAAAACTATTTAAAAATGTGGAATTTCGCTTTGCATAACTAATCATCTATGTGATCTTTAACAGAGAATACTCGAAATAATTTCAATAATTTCCGCGATGAGTAAAACATATCCGAAATGCAATATGTTAAATTATTAATTTGATTTGCAAATTTACAACCTACTCTCGATATTTTCATTATGCACGATCGCCGGATTCGTTCCATTTTCTCCTTGATAACACGCTGCTTCTTCCTAGATCGGTCCCACAAATTTTGCGTGTACCGGCGAAATGTTCCTCGATTTCTTTCAAGGTTCTATTCTCGGTCAACGATGCATGGTTCCGCCATTACGTACCTATTTTTAATGAATTTCGAAATTTACAATCATTCACAAAAACACAGAATCTTTAATGCAGTATAGTCGTTCGAGAAATAAATACAGTTTATTATTATTTATTTTAGTTTATTTTATTTAATTATTCATTATTGTGTGTGTGATAAATTATATATATATATGAGTTTTAATATATTTGAGATGGATAAAGATATCTAAAAAAATGCATCCAAATTTCTCGAATCATCATGCTTTCTGATCTGAATAATGTTAATGAATAACAATATTTTTATACGTCACGAGCAAACTGTAGTGTCAATTTTGTGAGCTTCTTTCGACGTTTTCCCGTCTTCCTAAAGGCGATTAAAAACGAATTACTCGTACGTGTGCTCATATGAGCACACACACACATATGAGCACACGTACGAGTAATTCGTTTTTAATCGCCTTTAGGAAGACGAGGAAACGTCAAAAGAAGCTCACAAAATCGACACTACAGTTTGCTCGTGACGTATAAAAATATTGTTATATATATATAACAATATTTTTATACGTCACGAGCAAACTGACAGCCGTTCGTCGCGTATATCGAAAATAATTACAACAAAATGACCGGTGGCAAGAGAATGGAAGACAAGAGGTCATATATATATATATATCTTGTCTTCCCTTCTCTCGCCACCGGTCATTTTGTTGTAATTATTTTCGATATACGCGACGAACGGCTGTCAGAACAATGTGAGAAGATTGAGCAATCAATATTTTAAAATTCATTTTTTAAAAAAAAGATCACCAAATATTTTACTTAACATATTCGATTCACAATCAAAGTATAATTTAGAAAAATATTTATTTTTATATTTAGAATAACATAATTACGAGAGTTCAATGCTATGTATGTATGTAAGAACTGAGTATACTTACTGTATACTTGTGTGGCTCTGTTACATGTTATCATGAATAAGTACAGAGATTATTATCTTGTATCTGTAGCATCAAGTTTTGAATTTATAATTAAAAATTTAATTATATAAAATTTTCTACCAAATTATTATGGCAAAATCTAATATTTGTATAATTTCTAATTTTTAATCCAAAACAAGATTATAATAGCCATTAATCAACAATCGTTGAGAATCAGACAGGAAATCATAAAATGAACAGTTCAATATTTTTGTTATTTTTGTCAGATTTTTTAAAACATTATTTTAACAGCAATATAATGCATTTTAATTTTTAATAACGACTGAGACATTTAATCGATTAATAATTTCAGGAACACAAGATTTTCAATAGAGGAAATCAAACATTTATAAACTTTATTGAGCAAATTGTAACGATATACCTATATACATATCTATTAGCATTTTTTTCTAACTTTTAAAACATTTTTTGTATTTAGCATTAATAAAAGTATGATACACAGATTAATTGCTTAGTATAAATTTGTTTTGAATCACACTGTTTATTGCTTTATATAGGATTCAAATGGATATAATTTTACATTTTAATTTGTATCTTGCATAAAATGCAGAATTTTTCCCTTACATATTTGTCACATAACAATTATATTCACGCACTAATGATATGTAAATATTATCTGGTTTTTTAAATATTATCTAAATAAGAGTTATCAAAGATACTTAAAAACATATCGTTAAATGGATTTTAAATTATTGCATTTTGACATTCCATATAGAAACGTTCTATATACATATAATTTTATAATATATAATATATATAACTTTATAATAATATATATATATATATATAATTTTATAATTTTGTTATTTTATTTTTTTACGAAGAAATTCTCTGTGATATATATTAATATTATTTATTAATTACATATGAATATTGAAGGATTATGAATATTCAAGATACAGCAGGTTATGAATATTAAATACATATTTAATAAAATATGCTAGAAATTATTGACATATAAATATATATATAGCATGCAGCTATATAACATAAATGAGAAATGATTTTTGCATCTTGTAGCTTTGAGCAATAATGGAAATAAAAAAATAATTCTAATCAATTATGCTATATTTGAAAATTCTTTTAGAAAACATTTATTTTTTGTTATTATTTCGACTTTCTATTGAAAAGTTGATTATAAATAAATTTCACATTAACTATATCTTTAACCATTACGTCTTCACTTCTGTTCTTCACTATAGTTTCGTTCTATCTCTATTTTTGTTATCTTTTCGTTTCACATATATAATTAATAACTTGTAATTTTATAACTATATGTTATATGTTATTGTTCTATTTCATGTTTTGTTTTTCTTTCATCCCTTTCTAAGGAAGACATGAAAAGTTGATTATCGCAAATATTGTTGCTGCTTTTCCGCGAAGCACGCGCTTATGTTGTCTAGTACATAATAAAAATTCAGAAATTAAAATGATGTATATAATAAAAATTCGGTGAATTAAAATGATGATGCAAAGAGCAATCTTGCTCGACAAGCAATTAGCTATATTGACTGGTATAAGCTCACATTTTTACGATTAACCATAGTTTATATATAATCGCGCGCATCCACGTAGGGTTTCTTTATAAATTTATTTTTACTTGACGTTGATTTTACAAAAAGTATCTATCACACATGTGCTTTTAAGAATGAAACAATGTTTCACTATGTACATTATACATATTATACCGATATGACAGGTTTCTTATTACAATATATAAATAATTCATCTCTCTTTCTTTGAACACACAGTTGACGAGACTTTAAGCTTCCGCTATGCAAAGTAGGATAGATTTGTCAATAAATTAAAGATACTTATAAGATTTGTATTTTATTGCGTCAACTCCAGATCGTAATTAATATACTAAAGAATATTGAGGATTGAGAATGTATCGCTGCATGTGAAGAGCCAAATATAATAGGAACGATATATTTAATTCGACCCAAACTAGCTAAGAAAATTTTTATTTTATTTCCACAACGTTTCGACTATCTGTTTTTGGTCCTTTTCAAATGAAAAACTAGAATGGTACAATTAATTAAAATTAATAAACATTTTTGATGTTAAACGCAAGAATTAAAAATTTTTTACATACTTCCATGATAAAAGCGCAGTTAGTTGACAGTGTCAAAAAAATTTTATCATTCCTGAAGCGTGAAAAAAGCATTCCGGTTAGCAAATTTCATGCATTCCGAGGGCGAAAAAAAATGCTCGCTCGTTGCTATTCGATATATTTGGCGTGGCAAGAGAGAGTCTGTCTCTTTCTCTCTCATGGAAATTACTAGGTATTTACCTCGTCGGCCGATTATTTTCTCCATCAGTCGTGCCTCGTGTGCGTTAAAGAAGCGATGAAAGAAGCGTGCAGCAACGTCAGCACGAACTCTTTTCACGTTTCTTACACTTTTACTTTCGCACTCTCGACACTTATTTAAATCCTGGCCACTGAAATCCACTACTCGATCTTTTTTTTCGCGACGGATATATTTATTATACAATATATTTATTATTACAATAAAAAAAAATCCCTATCGAGAGCTCGAAAGTCCCGATTCAGGCGACTTTTTCGGACCGATATATTTATAGGTTTCTCCAGGAATGTTACGTTTAAAAAAAGTGTTCTTCCAATTTTTTTTGTTTAGTTTTAATTTATATATTTTTTATATATTTTGAATTTATATATTTTTCGGACCGATATATTTTTCTCGTCTACATCAATTTTAGGGAGGTAAAGGGAAGAGGAATTTAAATCTCAATTTAGAGATTGTTCCTCGTCTTAGCGAATTGCTAAGTATTATATTTGGCTCTTCACAGCGGTACATTCTCTATCCTTGTTATTTACGATAAGAGCGTTTTAGCCACATTATTGTTAAAGAATATTGACTAAAAAATATTAAAAATTAGGTATTATTAAAAATATTATAAATATTAAAAATTAGGTATAGAATCATCTGGTTAGGAGGTGCATATTAATTAAAGAATAATGTTTATTTTAAAAAGATTTTAAGAGAGCATTATCATTTGCATTATTCTTTATATTAAAATATTGTATATGTATTTTTTCTTTTTAGCATGCTGTCAATGATGGGACATCAGAAAAGGATCTCGAGTGAAAGGATCTCAAGACGAACAATCATCTTGGCAAAGGTCTGTAATAATATGACAAATAACGAATATCTAGCATACATTAAATATGACAATTTATTAAGAACAATATATATTCTGCATACGATCGACATGAAAATTTGCATTAAAATTAATTAAATAAATATAAAAGTCGCACACACTGATTGATTCGTACCGAGTCAACAGTTATTACTAGGAGCATATTTTATTATAATGCGGGTTTGTGCCTAATAAATTTAGTGACTCGTGACAATTGATGTCTCAATCTTGACTAATTTTCAGATACAAAGAATCGTATCTTAATCAACGCGTACAATTATAATCAAGAATATAAAGATACGCATTGTATATATACATTCAAGACTATTTTTTCTCGAAAACTATATCAAAATATTTATTTTTATATTTTCGTTACTTATTCTTTTTCACAAGAAATTTTTTTCACCGCGATTTATCTGTCATCTTTTTTCGTACATTTTTATATTTTCAATATAGAGTCGAGTCTCGCAGTGATGCTTGCGATGTAGAAAGTCTTAGGAAAAATATATGTATATCTATGTTGCTATCTTTTCTTCTCACGGCGATCGCAGATTCACTTTCGCGCATAGAGAAATATTGAAAAATAAAATATTTATTAATAAAAATTGCTGTATACCGAGTACAATCAGTCTCAAACGTGATTAACTCGTGAAAAATGGCGTATAGGTACATTTGATTCATGTTATAAAATAATATCGTTTTACTAATTATATCTTTTTTTCTATAAGATTTCTTTTTTATTTTAGCTGGATTTCTTGCACTTTTCGTTTTTTCTCTTTTTTTCAACTTTTGAATACATCCATCTCCATTTTATCGCGTTAGTTCAGCTAAAAGAAAACAGTTTATAGGAATATATTATTTATAAATAAAATCAAGAAGTATACGTTCTCCATACAGTACTCGTATTATTATCCGATACGCCAATATTCTCGTGTTAAATTCCATTTGTTTGTTATTCGACTATATATTCGAGAATATCGCATCTTATCGAAAAAGGAAATCGATGTATACGTACACATTTACCTTAATAAAGTTGATTATCCCTCTGTATACATACTAAAGACAAGCAGAATCCATTATATCAAATCTTCTCTTTCGCAAGAAAATAAAGTAATATATAGCGAATGGAAACGGAAATGTTCCCTTAAAGAACTATGTTTCTTTATTTAACATTGTATACGCTTTTCTTATAAATCAGCTGCCATATTAAGTGAAGCAAGTAAAGAAGCAGATTCTTTTCTCGTGTATGTACATAACGACGAAATAACATTACTATAATGATACACATAAACGATTGGGCAAACGCAGTCATTTTACTCGAACTAATGTTCCCCTTTAAGAAATTTTTTAAATGATGTAAAACGCAAATATGTGTAATGATAATGAATATTCAATCAATAGAATCAATTGAAAGTATATTCACAAGTAATTCACATGTGCAATTAATATAAATATAAATATATATATATATATATATATATATATATATATATATTTAACTACAGTCCTCTGAAATAAATTAATCATAAACAATAACATCAACTAGCATTTAAATAACATCATAATGATAACCTCTTCAACTTTTTAAAGTAATTTACATTCAAATCTACATCTTTTTAATTAAATAATTTTAATTATAATATATCAAATTTAATTAAATATGTTTGGTTGATATAATTAATACTATGTAATAATAAATATATAGAGATTTATCTCTTTTTCATCATATTAATTATTTATTTTTATCTTAATTATTTATTCAATTTTTCCTCGCAAAGATGAAAATGACGGATATGATGAAGGCACTTTCAAAACTTTTATGTGTAACAATGTGATTATTTCATTTTCATCTGCATCTTCAATATATATATTTATATTCATACGAAGACTCAGGTTTAAGTTTTACAGACAGCTTACTTGTAGTTATATTCGTAATGTTATTATACAATTCAAAGTCTTTTGACTAATTCGTAGAATTATATTTGAATACGATTTGAATGAATTTCAAAATTCATATTTAATTATTAAAATGAATAGAAATATTTAAAATGTCACAGAAACTTATTATTATTTGTCGCAGACATTTATGTCAATCATCATCAGAATGTCATAACTAGAATGTCTTATATCTTTATGCATTAGAGAACAACACAAATGCATGTATGTTATCACGATGTCATCTAAATCGTAAAAACATAAAAAATATTTAAATAGAGAATATGAAGCGCTTTTATATTATATAACAAAAGCTAATAGGCGTTCCAAAATGAAGCACAGCCACTATGCAAATTATAAAATATTAGAATGAAGAGATATTAATACATACATTGAGCTTAAATATTGTAATCTAGCACATGAATTTTAAATCATCTTTATAATTTATTTAAATAAAAAGAATTCTAAAATAGAATATATACACCCCTGTGTAGCTATATGATTTTCAATCTTTTCAATTGGTGTTCATAGATATCATTAATGTTATTAGCAACGATGATTTGGCATAAAAATCGAAGAAAATGTGATTACGTATGTTTTATCGGATAAAAAATATATTTATGTAAACATGTATCGCGATTATACGAAAGTCGTGCACTCTAAAATGGCCACAGTGTAGTCAGAAAACATAAATTTACATCCAAAATATACTTTGCTCTTTAGAATACCATGATATATGTCGTATAAAAATCTATAAGTTCTAAAAGCTAAAGATTAAACAATTAAGACACTTTTTTCTTCGAATAACGCTAGATAAAGAAAAACAGCTATGTACACGCGCGTATTCAGAGAACTTAGTCGAGCTTATCAGAGACCAATGGGAATCTGACTATTCTCAATTGTCGGCCGTAGTCGCAAACCACGCTGTCTCTCAACGCCAACATTTGTTTTACAAAAATGCAACTGTCTTTATGACCCAATCTCACTTCCCGCACAGGCTCGCCCGTTCTTACGTCCCAAACTACCAATGATCCCTGAAACATCAATAAAATTTTAGCTTTAGATTTAAACTCATTTATACTTTTACTATCGCAAAAGCATAATTAGCATTCGAAAGAGATATTACCTGATTACTAGTTATGAGTAGATGATGCGTTAGCATCACTAATTGTAAACTATAAGCCGCTTTAAGTGCCGGCAAAGTATGCAATAAGTGTCCTTGAAAACGCTCCCAGACACATAGTTTTTCATCTGTTCCAATACTTATCACATACGATACCGAACATGTGATAGCAGCTATAGCCCCATCGTGCGCTTGAATACTATACATGCATGTCCCTGCAAAAAAACATAGTGAAAGACAAATACAAAAATGATTACAAATTATATATTTATTGATATTAATAATTATATTACCTGTCAACAGGTCCCACACGCACAGTAATCCATCCTGAGATCCGCTACCGGATGTCATCGGACTGAGTCTATCGATAAATAGGCATGATATCGGACCACAATGTCCATGAAGCGTGTACAGAGGCAATTGGTCCTCTAACCTAGGTAAGAAAAGCACACAATTTTATGCGTGAACGATTAGAAAGTGTGAAACCGGATTATATATTCAAATTCGTGTACCTGTATACTTTCAAAGTATGATCTTGGCTACCCGTTAATACGCGTCCGCCTTCGCTGTCCAGGACGGTGATCGCTTGTTGATGCGCTCTATGACAGCCAATTTTCATGCAGCGCAGATCTTCCTCCGTTTGCATACTGTTATTTAGGTCCATGGGTGAACCAGCGCTTCCTGTTCGCACATGTGCTAAAATAACGAATTAATTAGATATAAAAATAAATTTGAATGAAGAAATGAGCATTTTGTTCAGAATACAAGAAAATATATAATATCATTCAATGTAAAAATAAAATCTGTCATATTTTAAAATTACTTACTTCTTCTATAGGACGTGAAGCCCCAATCAATCTGCTGGCCTTCGCTGTAACTCTCGAGCTGTAGAAAGTCGATGGTTCCATTCAATTTAGCCGCTACTACTCTGCTGCCGACGAGTTTAACGGCAGAAATTCCAAGTCCCGATCCATCATCGAAGAGACACTGTGAATTAAGGACAAAATATAAGTAGTGACTAATTTTTATTTATTAGATATGTTTTTCGGATTATTCATGACTTACCTTAAATCTACCAGTTGTACCTTCCCAGAATTCTAGACTGCCGTTAGCGCATCCAACCACTATGAGATTTTCCTGATAATCCATACACCAGATCGCCGATGCGATATGCGATGATTGTATCGTGCGATCTGTATTTATGGAGGTCGTACTGCCAACCGAGTTATTTAATCTTGCAGGGGGAATGCTCGACTGTTCCCTAGTTTCAGATTTTTGCATTTCCTCGATCGATTTATTATGTTCCTCCAGTAAAATCTTATATCGTTCGCCAAAATCGAAACCTTGATCGTAGCTCTTTTGCAAGGGTGTATATTTTATGGCTGTGAATTTAGTATTGATCGCCGATTTCAAATCAGGAATATCGTAAGCACTGTCTAAGCTTCGACGTAACATCAGTCTCTGTCTAGTACCGCTACCGAGTTCAGCGATCTGATAATCATAATCCAGAGTGTTTCCTATAGATCGCCTTTTATGATTGTTATTATTAACCCTCTGCGTATTGTTGTAAGCGGGGGAAAACTTTCCTGGATACATCGCCGGTGAGTAAAGTCCCATTGATTGCGCCGCTTCCATCTCTCCTCTGGAAGGTGGTGAACCGCTCTCGTAATCCGACATGAGTTCATCAGTATCCGGTGACGTTTGGCTTAAATTTTTGTGTGGACTGGTGAAAAATTGCCGTCTATCGATATGCGCCAGCTGCTCGCCGGATGTTGAATCCCATATTCTGATGTGTCCCGCTAAACATGTGCTAGCAACTGTATTGCCGTCCGTCGCGATACATTCCACTTCCTGAGTATGACCTTCCAAAACCAAGGGCACGGCCTCCAGCACTAGCTGAGTAACGGAATCGTGCGTCTTCTCTTGCTTGTTCCAGCTAGCACGCCACTCGGCGTAATTTCTGGAGCAGATACAACGATAAAGGACGACCATCGTGTAAGCGACTACAATCACGCTAATGAGACACAGTACAGCGGCCAAAAATATCTCCATCGGACTCGACGGTACAAAAGGCGCATCCGTATTAAATACGCGTCCTTCTGATCTCGATCGTACTTCCATATCTAGAAAATAAAGATAGTTATTAAAATTAATGATATTGTTATGTCTAGTGTGTGATTAATCTTTCATTCAATTACAAACCAGAAAAATCCAAGGGATCCAGCGCGGCGGTAGCGAGACTCTGCCATTGGAAGTGCTGAACGTCTTTCGGATTGCTTATTTTTTCACTAATTGTGGATTCACTGCATGTGATAGCTTTATTGTCGGAAGTATAGTCACTCGTCCACCAGCAATCGATACGTTATACATCGAAAGAATCGAGGACCAATGATACAATGATAAACTGTTCCAAGGCGGATAATCCATAGGTCTTAACTTGTTTAATTCCTCGGTCGTATTATTAGTTACATCCTGAAAAAAAAAAAAAAAAAATACATTTTTCCTTAAATATATAGACAATTATGAGAATAAGGAATAATATTGTAATAAAAAATAAAAATTCACCTGTTCATTCAAATTATCAGGTACTATAGTCGCTGGTGATACGGATATTGGTGTCACTGTATTAATTTCAACATAGTTCATTGGTTGAGGTTTATCTATCGTATATCCATCATCAGCTTCTGGTTTTAGCGTCTCGCTCAAATGTATCACATGTTCAATAATGCCAGAATTGTTGATAGTCATGCTGATCCATACAACCATCCATACCATAAATGCACGTTGGAAGATTCGCGTTCGCGCCCAAAAGTGCACCAATCTCAAACGCTTGGGAATCTTGCCCAGCGTATGAGTATTTTGCGTATTTGGAGCGATAACGTTTGTCGGCCCTGTGGCTAAACCGTTTAATTTTGGATGAGACTTGGAGCGGAAGATGTGAGGTTTTCTGTTGGTAATAGTAGTTGTGAATTGTTGTCTGCGTGACGTGGGGATGTGCGACAAGTGAAATTTGGAATTTTCGTTAGATAGCTCCGTACGTCTGATGTCGAGCGCAAGAATAGTCGAGAAGAATACCATTTGCAGGAAAAAATCACTCAGTAGTCCAACGATTGCGAATATGCAAAATTCCTGAATGGCAGGAACAAAAGTGAACAGTCCAATAGTTAATATCGTCACTTCTGTAAGCAGATTTTTCGTAATGGACCATCCTTCCTTCGATAGAGCTTGAGCGACACGTATTTTCACATCCAGATGGGCGGCCGTACTGACGACACTCTTTGTCAATACCTGAACGTTTTCAAGGCCGAAAATAATCACCAGGTATGGAAACACTTCTTTGGCGCTCATACTCAGAGTCAAACCAAAGAAAAAGCACACACCCACTGTCATAGATAGCGAACCCATTACTGTCACAGTGGCACTAAACGCAATGCCGAGTTTAGATTTGACAAGTTCTATTTTTCGCACTTGAAAATATTCGTAGAAAAATAAGGCCAGTAAGGTCATCATCAGTGGGAAGAATTCACTATAATTGAATTCACCAGGATAGAAAATATTCAATATTTCATCAGGCGTATCAACGTCCGTGTTGTTGTCAACATTTTGATGCAGATAATAATAAGTTTTCAATCGATTCTGCAACCCTTTAATAAATCTGTAAACAAATAAAATACATTATACATTAATACATTAATATACATTAAATCGATGAAAATCATTAAATTATAAATATTTACTGTTCATCATATTTCTTCAAATAAATTGTTACAGCATATTGAAGAATTCTTTGGCGAATCCGAGCAGGATATCTCTTCACTCCCGTTTCTTTCAAACTCATTCCAAACATTACTTCTGCGAGACTTATTTTACCTCTCTGAAGATTCTGCGATATATAGAAAGGTGAGAATAAATTAAGAATTTTTATCATATATAATAAAGATAAGACTAAATTTGCAGGTTAAAAATTGAAAATTGTTTTATCCTAATATTCTTATTATGTAATAAAGATAAAATTAAATTAACAAATTTAGCTTTATCTTTATTATAAGAATATGCGGAGAGATCTTGATTTGTTACCTCGCACATAATGCTGAGAAATAATGAATATAAATAATTGTTTATCATATTTACCTGATAAGAAAATATTGTATTAATAAGATTTGTATCTTGAGCAAACGATTCCATACTTTGTTGCCACAAATTTGCAGGTGACAAAACAAGACAGTTGTATTCTGGCAATAAGTCTGCCATTTTGCCATTTCGTCTTTTCACTGCCTCGATATGCAAACATACTTTGTTAAGCGTTTCAAATCTAAAAAAGCAGAAATATATTAGTCTTTAACGTTTCGTTCCTTTTAAATATATTTATTCTGCATTGTTATTTACATATTGCTAGTTTGTATATATATTTTCAACTCTTTGAATAGATAATAAAAGTACTTTACTCACGTTTCTGGATGTTCATAATTCTGTATGATTTCCAGAAGATTGAACACTTCGTAGAGAGGCCCCCGAAAGGCGTCCATCAGTGTCAGATCTTCGTTCCATGGCATCACTCCGATTCTCAGCACTACTTGTTGAACGTACAATACTGAAGTTTCCGTACCATTGGCTGGTATAACTGTGTCATTTATCAGAGTCTTCGGAGTATTGCCAGGCATGGGCAAATTGACAAGTGGATAGCTGCAATACACAATGTAAGTTTCATTTCTGCTGCTTCAGGTTTCAAGAACAAATTAGGTGACGGAACTCACCAGCAAAATAACAAAACCGAGATTGCGAGCGAGAGCACGATGACAGGATGAGAAGAGCAGAATAGGCCGTGGGCATAATAGAGCCCGGCCACTCTGTCCGGCAAACTGCGAGACATCTTGCCTAAGACGTCTGCCTCCTGTGCAACATAATCCACCGATTACATAGGCGATCGTCCGTAACTGACCTGGCAACATATAATAATGTTTCATATCGAGAGACGACAAATGCGACACACAGATACATACAGACGCGCGCGTCAATGAGGATAACGCTTTAGGGAAAAGGAAAGAAAAAGACGAAGAGGCGCGTATTTTTCTTCGATTATCGCTGTCATTACGCAACTGACGTGAATCGCGCCGGACTTGATGTTGTCGTCGACCGGGCGCTGGTTTGAATAACGATAGCGATAACGCGGAGGTAAAGAGATACAACTCCGTGCGGAGTGTCAAGTTACAGGAGTCGACTTACAGCATCTCCTAACTATTTCGTTTCATCGTCGATGTTTCGCTCGATGCGTTATCCAGGAAGATGAAGAGGAAGATCGATGACGATCCGCGGCAGAGGCGGACGAAATATCGAATCGGATCCCACTCGCGAATTAGTACGCACTTTGGTCCCCTCTTTTCATTTATTTATTTATTTTTCCCTCGGCTTCGCGAAGCGCGAAGGACCCTCGAAGGGATCCGAATCAAGCGAACGAACGTGACAGACGCGAGAGGAAGCGAGAACTCAACGAATGACGAAAAAAAAAAGGAGAAAAGAAAGCACGTTACGTGTACAACGTGAGGCTCGGAGATGATTTTAGGTTATGTGCGGCGCTCTTTTTCTGCGGCGTATTTAGAGGTTACGCACGGCCAGCATCGCGGAACTGTGGGGGATCGATTACGCGGCGTGCTTTTGCGCGATTCGCTGCGCTCGCACGTGTCGGGCACGCGTCATCTCGCTCTTCTCACGTAGCTCGAGCCCGCGGCGAAAATCCGGCGAGAGAAAAACATACGAACATGATGAGATCACGACGAAAATGACGTTTTCACTCGGTCTACGTGTATTGTATACTCGATGCGCGCGCGCGCGCTCTATTCCGCATATATATTCATATACGGAGAGTCGTCGATGCGCGATAAAAATCACGTCACGTCGCACGCTTCACTTCTTCGGAGTGCACTGGCCGAATCGCAATACGCGAATATACTTCAATATACGCGTTCGCTTTCGGGGGTTAATTTATTTTTAAACGCGCGCGGCTCGCTCTCTCTCCCTGCGCGCGTGACAGCTCGAGCCCCCGATCAGCTGACCAATCACAGGTGCGCGAGAGCGGCGCGCACGTGGCCGAAATCAAAAACAAAATCTACGAAAAATATGCTTATATAAAAAAAAACGCGCGCGCAAAAAAGAAAGAAAGAAAGAAAGTACTTAAGTATCGCTCGCCGGAGACGATGAACGCGTCGTGTCGATTCACCGTGACGATTTCCTATGCGTAGGTATGTAACATGCATGTATGCATGTTTGCGCAAAATCTAATCCGTGATTCGATCGCATGCGTAATCGATAATCGCAAAGACTCGCGGGAAAAAAAGTTCCCTCCTTTTTGCATAACGCGTTCGCGATTCGGAGAAACTGCTATTCGAAATCTTCGTTCTTGCGAAGGTAAGTGAATCAAGGAGACGATTGTAAAGTTGTTTAACAAATTTCCGTGATAGAATTGTATAAGTTTTTGCCTCGACTAAAGTCGAAGTGCGATTTTTGTTCACGCCTGAAAAGGGTGAAAAACTAAAAGTGTACCGAAAAAGGTTAAGTTCGCAAAAGAATTCGAATAAAATAAAGTAAAAAGTATATTCGATAACAGAGAGCAACGTGTTTCTGGTTATTGTGATACACATATCCTTTTTTTAAGCTGTTACTTTTTATTCTTTTCTATTACTATTCATGATTTCGCCGTATGCATAATTAAAAGCTTGAATGCTAAATAAAGTTGCATTTTTTTTTTGCAGATGTAGTGAATGATAAGCAAACTTCAAGAACGAGTTTTGATTAAAGAATGGAAATTCAGTCGTCTCGTAAGAAAACAATCTCGTAAGTCAAATATTAAAAATTATATTTATACATGCATGAAACAGAGAAAACATTTCAAATATTACCTAACTCATCGTCAATTTTAAAACGTTGCGCTTACATAACATTTTATTTCGTTCTCTAAAATTTCCGAGTGTTTCTTTGTACATACATATGTGTATCTTCCTCTATTCGTTTTCATGAATGATACAAGTTAAAAAAATTCTCTCCACTCGTTTAGAATTTTCAACACACTAAGATATGTTAATGAATTCCTTTTCGCTTTTTTATTGTTCCTGCAATTCATTTCAGTAATAAAATATGCGTCTGCGTGACGTTTAAGCGCAAGGTCAAGTGCATGGTTAAAAAATTCCGGTTCGCGTTAAATAATTAAATAAATTCGCAGCTCTTTATTCTGTGTGCGCAAACACTTTCTTCTTCGATTGGCTTTACACAGGCGAGGCGAGACGAGGCGGCGAGGCTTTACTTGTCGGCAGTCGCGGTCGGACGCGTCTCGCCTATTATCCCGCGATTGACGTGTCTAATTGCATCAATTGCGTAATAAATGGAAATTAAGCTGCTGCAAATGGCCAAGTATCGCTCGGAGGTCAATCGTCTGCGAGCGTGCACGATTTTAGAGCCCGCGAGACACGCATTATGTTATACGAGTCTCGAGGAAAGACGTCAATTATTAGATCAATGTTAACGCGACTAATTATATATTTTGGGAGATAGATAGTTTTGTGTGTATTTTAAACAGAGGAAGAATTATTTTTTCGTACTAAATAAGAACAATACAATATTTATAATAAATAAGAATCAATATTATGTGTAAATAAGGTAATATATTAATGTAATGTATTCTCATTTTTTATGTTTCTCTATAATTGGTGCATAGATAATATGTAATACATAGATAAAAGGCATTTTTATGTATATATTTATTTATTTATTTATCTTGTTTTCTTATTTTTATCTCTGTAAAAATATTTGAAATTAAAATCAAGCGAGGGAGACTTATACATAACTTATTTGTCTTTTTTTAAAGTCTTTGAAAAAATCTGTTTGCCATTTACTTATGTTATACATATCAATGGAATTGATATATTAGTATCGCATCATCAAAATAATGACCAAGGTAATATCTAAGTATGTCACGATAAATATAGTGCTTTATCAAATCATTATATGCATATATGGTGAAAAAGAAACTGCAGTTACTACATATATGTAATTACACGTAAGTACATGTATAAAATTGACATATTGACTTTATTTTTTTACAATTATGAATGATTGTATATAAAGAAAAACATTTTTTACCTTGACCATGTAATTAATAATCCCTCTCAGTAATATATTTAAATGGAAAACCACTAAAAGTTTTAAGATCTTAATTCAAAATTGTTTTCCATTTTTCCACAAACTGTATATCCATCCTCGATCCCGAAATTATACATTTATCTGACCTTTAGCAATTGAATAAAAATTTTATTACGCGGAATGCGAAAAGTATACATTATCCTGACTATTTTTGCATGCATATTTTGCATAAAATTTTCTACGAATATGCATACTGGAAGCAACGACGCAAATTAAGTAGATGACTAAAAGATTATATTAGTGATGTCACACGTTTGCACGTTTATTAATGTGAATTATTAAGAATAATCGATCGAATCTGAAAAGAACAACCTTGATCATACATTGAATCCTTATTTGACGACACGAATAGATACGTGTAAAAATAAATAGAAGCATATTTTACCATTCATCATTGATAATATTAATATTATTTATTATAATTGAACTTTTTAGAAGGATAATAATCGACGATAATAGTATCGAAAGTGAAAAATACATTAGTTTCCGATGATTACATAACTGCACGTGTTGTCATCGTGCAGGCGCTTCATATAAATAATAGGTACATCTTGAGAAAAATCTGTGTATCAAATAGCAAAGCATTTCAATTTTTCTTATCAAATTTTTAAATGACACTTTAAACTCGAAATCGTGGTCTAATTAGAAATTACTTTCATATTGAAAGTTAAAAGACTTTAATTACGCTTTATGAACGAGGAAGTAATAATAATAAAGCGTTATTATTAATTCACTTCTATATATGCGCTTTACATTAACTGACTTTCAACGTGAGATAATTACTACGATATTTAATATTTGAAAATTCTCCAAAATGTAGAGAAAAATAACATCTCGTTATATTTAAATGTAAAGTAATAATTCGAAAAAAATTCTACTTTTGATTTCTCTCTTTTAATAACATTTTTATTTCTCAAAGTATCAACTCACTCATTCTACATCATAATTAATTCAAATTACGTCAAAGCCATTCGATAATTAATCACATAATATACGTACATTAAAATCATGTTGTGTTAAACGATTACGCGGAGCCGTAACGTTGTTGTAATTTTACATTTATCGCTCAAGTCCTCGAGGTATCTCATCTCTGGTTTTCATTATGACGGTAAACCAGTAAAATTTTATATCGCTTCCTCAGCAAAGTCTCGTGCCGGGATAACGGAGGCGATATCCGCCTCTCTCGGAGCACAGACGTTTAGGCGAAATGGGGTTTATAATAAAATCGCTCCGATAAATATTAATGATATCGGTAACGTTACGCGCCGGCTGTTAGTTAGAGCTTACGATGACTCCTCTCATCCTCTTCCTTCGATGAAATCGATCCTCGGTTAGCCCGTAACACGGATTTAATCCTTCACTTCAAAGTTCTTCCTGCGGTTTAAATAAGTTCTTAATCAAAAATTTGGTAGCAAGCAATTTTGAAAGGATTTTTTCATCTGATTTTCATTCCGAAGAAAATTGTTGCACCCGAGTTTGGGATGCGTAATATTTTTATTCTTCGCTTCTCATCGCGATGTGTTTTCAGATATCCACGACGTTAGTTGGATTTGCAATTATTATATTATTTGAGCATCGATCGAAATAAAATAATATTTGTATTGAATTACTTTTGAATGACTCTTGCCAAGAATATTTCATCTATTTTCTCTTTTCGTAATGTGTAAAACGAAATATATACATTTGAATAAAAATAATGTAACGCGAACAATGAAACACGTAGATGATTTTTCCATAGAAAAAGTTCTCTCCCGCAGATACAAAAATTCTTAGTGCTAAATGCAAGATTCATGGATATGCTCCAAAACATAGCTTCTCTGGGGATATTAATCTTATATTAATTCCAAGATGAGAGAGCAATCTCTCGCTGGAAACTCACCTTCTTCAGCAACGCATCTGTCTTCCCCTTCTGATTTCCTCCGACTTTTGGCCGAAAAACCTTTTCTCCTCGGTTGCATATATTCGACTCGCGTTCGTCCCTCGCTCTCGCACGTCTTCCTAATCGAAATTGATGCAACGGCGTCGTCTCCGAGAAAGATGATGGATGACCTGCCGACTGGCAAGCAGCGATTCGAGAAGCAGTCCTTGCAAATTATTTTTCTGGCTTGGAGGGAAGTCGGAGTTTCGGAGTTTTATATAGATGTACTCTCTCTCTCTCTCTTCCTTCCATAGGAAGAGCGATTTTAATCTTTCAGATATTTTCTAAAGTTCTGAAAGCTAAAAGGGCAGGCAAGCAAGTTATAATACTTCTGGCATTCATTAACAACATTTTCTAAGTTGCCGTCTAACAGATTCTTCTCTTTCGGGAGGAGGCAAGTCAGACCTGAAACTTGACCGCGGCTAATATTTCCGGAAAAGATTCGCCGATATATCGGAAATACTTTGCTGATAAACGTTGCGTGAACTTTGTCGAAAAAAATAAGCTCGCGCGGCGAAGCTTAATTTCCGGTCCGTAGCAAAATCGGCTCTCTCGGTTGGAGAAGATCGATGCGTGGGGCCGGCGATATTACGAAATCGCCTCTCAGAAGTTTGATAAGCTTCGGAGAAGAGCTTCGACGCTTGATGGAGTGGACTTATATGTCTCGGGCGTTTTGCAACGATTCCCGGCCAACGAAACAGCGCGTATGTCTCTATTCGCTCGAAGGAAGGCGAGAGAGTGCCGGTGGGTTTGGTGGCTTCGTTTATCGTCCGACCAGAATGGCAATTTATCTTACTGGCAAGACGGACCGAAGGTACCGAGTCCCTTGGATATAAATGACGAGGAGGTTCTTCGGGATTTCCGCGGCGGAGATAAAGGAAGAGCCAGCGGAGGCTGCGGAAAATCTGCCGTTCTCGTGTAAACGCTGTCGCGAGTCGGAGTGCATTTTCAATTTCTCGTATATATTAAGAGTCCGCGAGCCCCTCTCTTCTCTTCTATATATTCTTGCTTATGACGAGCGAGTATACGTTCTCAATTTTCCGAGGTATTCTTGAGGACCCGTCGCGTCTTGGATCTTTCAAGCGAGGAAAATTACACGCAGGAGCCTCGCGATTTTACGCGTCCGAGGTAACTTTTATTTAATTTCATTGCGAGGGAAGTTGTGAAAATTGCGTGAACACTAACTCGATACAAAGTTAAATTGTTGAAACGAATTTTCAATCTAATCAGAGAGAAAATTCATAGTTAAATATCGTGGAAATAAATTTTAAAATCAATATAAACATGATCTCTCTTTCTCGCGCGCTTCTATCAAAATTGTCAACCGAAAGAACGATTAATAGTGACGGAAAGCTGTTTATTTGCGGGAAAAATATTGACTGCAGCAAATACAGGAAGGAATCGCGAAGACGTCGTCGACATTGACACATTAGAAAGAGAAATACGACGCGAGAGGGAAATCGGAGCGCCTATCGTGTGTTTTATCGCTCTGAGAAGCAATGGTCTTCGAAAATGGGTCCGCTTCATTCGCTCCATTCACTCTGGTTGCGATCATCCCGTGGCAATATACGTCTTGTGTGTGTTTCCATGCATGTGTGTGTGTGTATATCGGAGAGTTCGCGTTTCTGGAGTTTTCATCCGTATCGCGAGAAAAGACACTTCGTCTTCCTTTGCGCCGGCTTCAACTTTATTATTGGTAAACAAGTCGCTTCTCCCTTCTTCCATTTTCCGTCTCCACCAGGCCGTGTTGGTTTCTCATGTCGCGTTTTTCTTCATCCTCCTCATCCTGGTTGGATATATCTGTGTGCGTTCGGGAACTTTGGGATTAAACTTGAAGTGCGCGATTCACGTCGCAGGATGAGGGAGATAAGACAATAGATGTAGATTATGAAATATATATCACGTATACATATTCCACAAGTTGGCTATACATTATTTAATAAATGTACACCATGTAGTTTATCACCGGCAACATATATATGTGAGCGACTTATAATTAATTATTAATTAATTTCAAAACGGGTTCGCCAGCCCGTAAATTGTGGATTAATGTAAATTAGCGTATAATTCCAACATGTACGAGAGATTAAGCGTGCATCTACGCGAATCTCTCTCTCTCTCTCTCTCGCTAATCGGAATTAAATTTTAAACCACACTTTATATAAACGCACGAGAAACTTGTTTGCATGAAGCTCGAATGCAAATATCGAATTCCGATCTTCAAATATATATGAAAAATACAATAATTTTTTATTTAATTTTATATTATATATATATATATATATATATATATATATATGAATAAGAGATTAATTTGTTTCGAGTTCGATTTCATCAACGTTGCCTCAGGCGCGAAATAATATTTGCTTCTTCAGTGGAATACTTGAACGAATGTCAACGACAAACTTTTTCAATATAACTTTCTCCTTTGCGCTTACGAGACTCTGTTGCTTCGCAGTTAGTGAAACGGTCGCGATTTATCGTTTTAAGTTTATTTCAAATTCGCACCTACACAAAATAAAAATCTTTCTCGCCCGCGAAAATAAATCACTATTAAGATTAAATTAAGTTCCTTTTTCCGAAAAAGTTTGGAAAAAATCGCTGTCCTACACTGAAAAAAACTTGACTAAACCTTTCCTATAT